CAGACTACTTACCATCTGTCAAAAGCATCTAGTTCAGAGTAACATTTTTCGATTGGTTCATTTTTGACTCATCAACAAGGATGAAAATTGAACATGACTTCATTTTTCTCCTGTCACACTCCTCTCCACCTCTCCTACCCCATATAAAGTTATAGGCACCGTCGAATCACTGGACAATAGTTCAATAGGACCTATGTATCTGGGCCTAACCTTCTCCCTGCATAGCTAACCTTCTGCACAGAAGAAGGTTAAAAGTTGACACATCACTGAAAAGAACTAATGCCATAAAGGGTTTATATGAGTGTTTCAAAAAGTTTTGACATATGGCTRGCCACGTGGCTATAAACCTCTGAATTATAGGAAGCTTTCACATTTCACAATGTTGATAGAAGTGCCTTTTGAAATATAGCCTGTTACTGATATTGCTTGCTCTGCGTATTTCAACTGGACTGGTCCTTTGACACTACTAGCATATTACCCTCACATTAGATTTTTATAAATTCTTTTTGACCATTTTATAGAAAAAACGTGCATCTGAGATTCTTAGAATGCTTTGAGACAGTTCAAAGAACAGGTTTTATTATATCCTCCATATTTAAATATTCAAAATTTATCTCTGAAACCTCCCTGACAAGCACGATTCCTTTATAAAAAAACAAAAACTATCACACTGATAATTTAGTGAGAGAAAATTGCGAAAAAAAACGGAAGAGGCCGAAGAGCGAGAGAGAAAATGAAATAATACTGTTGCCAGTGGTAAAGTAGACATTATGCGAAACGGTATTAAATGTTTCCTAAAACTGACTGTATATTTGTGTTATGTGGGCCCATATACAAGTTGGTTTTGAAACTATTGGATGTTTCCTTTAACGGATGCCCTATATTATATCATAAATATTATATATAATATATATATTTATTTAGACATTTTTAGTCAGTAATTCAATTAATTCAGATTTTTCGATTTAACTTTCAATTTTACGGTTTTTATTGAGCACCATGATTAGTGGTGGCAGAGGTGTAATGTCTTTTCCTCTGCTATTGCACCTGCCATGGCCTCACATCTTCACTTTCATTTCAAAACCCTAAACCTATTTCCGCCCTGTCCCCAAACAGGCTTTCGGATCCACAAGACAAAAATTTTATCTCAAATTAGGGGTTTTAACCGTTCAGTCTATTCCTAGGGTGGAGCTAAGATTTTTAGGATGTATCAATTGCTTTTAATTTGGGATATATGGACTATAATCTATCTCAAAAATCTGAAATTACAATCCTCTTCTAGTGTATTAATAGCCCCCTTATGCTCTTAATTTGGGATATGTGGACTATAATCTATCTCAGAAATCTGAAATTGCAATCCTCTTCTAGTGTATTAGTAGCCCCCTTATGCCCACCCCTAGTTTAGCAAGTGTGCTAAACTATTGTCTTCCCTTTTGTTAAAAGAAAAAGATAAGTCAAGACCGAGCTCGCCAAATATATCTTTACCCGAAAGGAAAGCATCTCTATCTGATGCAAACTCTTTATTAACTAAAGACAAATGATCACTTTCCAAAATAAAAGTCCCAAAAAAAAATCCTTCTCAAATTGAATGCCTTTTAAACACGCCAAAGCTTCAAACTGCAAACAAGAAGAACTCTTGCTTGGCCCAAAGAGAATTTTCAGATCACCCCAAAATGATTTCCGATGACAAGTCCATAAGTTGCAATCCCTACCTTAATAAAGTTTCTGATGTAGGCGCATGTGGCCCTGTCCAATAGGAGGCCAGCATGTGTTAAGCGGCGGCACCCAGAGCGGAATTAGAGCTCGGCGGACTTTCCGGAACTAATAGCACGGAGTCACTTGGCGGCCTCGGAGGGCCACATTCCCCGTGTATGGACCGCATCTGAACCGTCTGAGCTCACCTACCTCCAAGTAGTCTCAAGTATAAATAGGAGGTGACTCCTTCAAGGTAAAGGACTGGAACCTGAACTCAAAAACAAACACTTGAGAACTCTTATCCTCCTTTGTGGCCTCACCTGAGTGTTCACACCTCAGGCCTCATCCACCGTACACTTCTCCTAGTACTAACTTGACCATTGAAGTCTTTGCCTTGGGTGCCAACCCGGGGCCTTTGTGTTAGACAGTTGTATGCCCTTAGCTCCAATCAGAATGATGTACATTATGAATTTATTGTAAATGAATAAAATACATATTTGATTCATGTTTCTGTGGTGTGTTTCTGTGTAATACCCTTAAACTGGACACTTATGAGACTCGTGTTAGTTTAGATTGTTCACAGCCGTTGGATAAGTCTGGGGAGATTTATCCTGCCAAGGCTGACACTGATGTGCTGACAAATGTTGGGGTGGCCTGTCTCAGCCGCCAGGGTGAGACCCA